CTGTACAGCCTGAACCACTATCATAATGCAAACATACAGTTGTGTTCAAAATAATAGCAGTCAGACATCACTAACCTGATCAATCACTGTTTTTGGTAGAAATTATATTTCTACATGGCAAATAATTTACTAGCAGGTGTGTAGTAGAGTAATAGAAATGCTGCTGATTCTGTGTAATTGAATCACTAATTGAAAGGGGCATGTTCAAAATAATAGCAGTGTGGAGTTCTATTAGTGAGGTCATTCATTCTTTGAAAAACAGGTGGCAATTATTGCCCTTATTTAAGGAAGGAAGGCAGCAAATGTTGTACATGCTGGTTACAGTGCATTTCTCTCTGAAATTCTGAGGAAAATGGGTCGTTCCAGACATTGTTCAGAAGAACAGCGTACTTGATTAAAAAGTTGATTGGAGAGGGGAAAACATATAAAGAAGTGCAGAAAATGATAGGCTGCTCAACTAAAATGATCGCAAATGCTTTAAAATGGCAACCAAAACCTGAAAGACGTGGAAGAAAGCGAAAAACTACCATTCGAATGGATAGACGAATAGCCAAAATGGCAAGGACTCAGCCAACAATCAGCTCCAGGAAGATCAGAGAAGGTCTAAAGTTACCTGTGAGTACTGTTACAATTAGAAGACGCCTATGTGAAGCCAAGCTATCTGCAAGAAGCCCCCACAAAGTCCCACTGTTGAAAAAAAGATATGTGCAGAAGAGGTTTCAATTTGCCAAAGAGCACATTGACTGGCCTAAAGAGAAATGGCGCAACATTTTGTGGACTGATGAAAGTAAAATTTTTCTTTTTGGGTCTAGTGGCCGGAGACAGTTTGTCAGACGACCCCCAAACACTGAATTCAAGCCACAGTACACTGTGAAGACAGTGAAGCATGGTTTCGCAAGCATCATGATATGGGAATGTTTCTCATACTATGTGTTGGGCCTATTTATCGCATACCAGGGATCATGGATCAGTTTGAATACATCAGAATACTTGAAGAGGTCATGCTGCCTCATGCTGAAGAGGAAATGCCCTTGAAATGGGTGTTCCAACAAGACAACGACCCCAAACACACCAGTAAACGTGCAACATATTGGTTCCAGACCAACAAGATTGACTTTATGGAGTGGCCAGCCCAATCCCCAGATCTTAATCCAATAGAAAACTTTGTGGGGTGACATCAAAAAATGCAGTTTCTGAGGCAAAACCAAGAAATAGAGAAGAACTGTGGAATGTAGTCCAATCATCCTGGGCTGGAATACCTGTTCACAGGTGCCAGAAGTTGGTTGACTCCATGCAGCACAGATGTACAGCAGTTCTCAGAAACAGTGCTTATACAACTAAATATTCATTAAGTGATTCAAAGGAAAGCAAAATCTTCAAACATTTTTCAGTTTATATAGTGAATGTTTGAGTTTGTAAAGAAGAATACAAACACTGCTATTTTTTTGAACAGTCTAATATTCACTTTTCTTAAAATTTTTTTTTAGAGGAACAACACAAATTTGATATATTTTTCTTCATGTTTTGATTTGGAATAGAATGTGTAGTGTTCCCAGTGCATTTGTGTGGATGGAAATAAAAGCTATTGGAAGGATTTTGAGCTTTATTCACTTTTTTCAACACACTGCTATTATTTTGAACACAACTGTATATGATTCTGGATTGCCCAGTGGCTGATTCAACTGAGCCACAGTGATAGAAATAGGGGTTTCAACAGGGGAATTGGGTGCCACAATTCGTTATGGCAGTCATAGCAGAGGGGAGAGAACATTACTGTAGGCAGCTTAGGGGAATAGTCAATGTAAATAACATCATTGCTCCCCACAGGCGCTCCAAACTGGAGTCCTTACTGAACAGCGGTAGTAGCAACTGAGCTCTGTCTGAACAATAGGTGTGCCCACAAATAAGAGAAGCAGACAGGCAGCAATGGGAAAAATGTAATCGTGGATTGTCTTCACAGTCTATCAGCATTTTCCTGGAGGAACAGTTATTTATACATGAATGTATGGGCTTGTATTTAAATTTTTAATGCTCATGAAAGTTCTGCTTTAAAACAGTATTACACCCAAAACGTAATATATTGCAGCTTACCAATCCTTAGATGTGGTGGCTTTATTAGTTTATTAGGCTTTTTCCCTTTGTTTTCCCCCGGTGATCTGGCCAGTAACATACCTCCTGTGGTATATAGATTTTACTCTGCATGGAGCACAGGGAGGAGATTTGAACAGCAGCATTGTCAGTCTTGGGGGAGGGTAGTGTAAGAAGTGTTACCAAAGTTAAATACAGTAACAAATTGAAGTGGAACTTCAGCTAATACATTATATTCAGTTACAGCAAACTGTTTTTTTTCCTTTTGGGACAAATGTTTTACATGAAAGCTGATCATTGTAAGCACCACTGTCAGTGTTAAGTGGTCTCTCTCATCTCTGTAACTACAAGAGAGCTTTTCTGTTGAAAAACAAAAGACTTATTGACCAGATCACCAGATGAAAATAGAAGCAAGCCTAAGTAGGAAAGTAATACAGCTACCACATCTGAGAATTGGTAAACTGCAATATAACAAATGTTTGCTTTTGGGTTTAATACTGATTTAACAAGCAGTGATTTGACTTTAAAACAATTTCTTACTGACCTCTGTAGCTGCAGACACTGTGGAGAAATTAATCCTCAAAATTCACAATGGGAATGAGTGAAGTAATCAGTTTGAGTCTCAACACTCTGCTCTATCTTCTCTTCCTGTGCGCCTGATCCTTGTGTCCATTACAGATTACAAGGCTGTCAGTTTGCTAACAGGCTTCTGTGCCTCTGCCATACTGTATAGCTAGAAAACCATTATCTTCTTTACAGCTTTCTAGGTCACATCCCTGCTCATTGGACGGAAGTGATGATGTGATTATTATTAAGTACACACACTGGAGATGGAGAGGTGATGCAGAAAATGGGAAAGCTAAATCAGGAAATAAAGGTGTTTTTGGGGTGGTTTAGAGCTCTATGAATTACAGAACAGTCAGAAAAGAAATATAAATCCTTTGAAAGGTAATACTATGCATATGTAGGTATTTAAACGGCAGTTACCTGTTAGCCTTGAGTTCCACTTTAAGGGGTACCAGAATTCTTTGGAATGCTTCTCAGAAGCCCAGTGTTCTTTAGATCTGTCTATCTGGCAGGAATCAGATGAACAACATATAATGTCTATGTATCTTTTTAAGTCCAGTTCCAGCCACTTTATTTAATTTTGATTTGAGTGTGGAATCGTTTGCACTTCTGTCAGGATTTATTGTTATATGCAGTCCCATTAGAGTAATTGCTTCCTAATGCTTGTTCCTGGTACATGAGAGCAAAAAATCAAGAAAATCACTGTCCCTAGGACAGGAAAACACAGCTAGAAATACCTGACATAGTTTATAACCATTCCATGTTCTACCAAGAAATGCTGTGTTACTGTCTCTATTCCCACTGGTAATTTTTCCATAGCTTCTTTCCTTGTGACACCCTTTCTTCAGAACAAAGCGCTTAAACTTTGTACTGGAAAAAGTGTGTAGAGCTTTTTTTTTTTGCTTATTTGATCTACTAGTCTTCTGTAGCTGTAATTATTCTGGTAGCAGCCACAGGTTTGTGATGTATGTAAACTTTAAAGCGGTGACCTTTTGTATTTGATTCTGTGTGTTAAGGTGATATGTATCTGAAATAGAAGAACACTGCATTCTCCAAAACAGTTAATTGGCATATTAACAAAAGCATTATTCTAAATTTTTAGCATGGAAAGATTCTGTGGCAGGTAAGGGAAACACCCATATGAATGTGAAATGAGACCGCTAACACTCACAAAAAAGAGAGGATTGTCTCACCAAAAGAAATGCACACTCCTTGTATGACCTAACATCAATAGTATGTACACTATTGAAGAGGATAATAAGGGACCATATCCAATAATTTGTGGATGAAAATGGTATCATTAGTAGTAACCACCATGGATTTATGAAGGATTGTTCTTGCCAGCCCAATCTGTTAAGTTTATAAAAAAGTGAGCTGTAATCTGGATAGAGGAAGGCATGTGGATGTAATGTATTTAGATTTCCAAATTACCAATTTACCAAAGTATTTGATACAGTACCCATAAACACTTAACTTACAAATTGAGGTCTGTTGTTGTTATTGATGATAGTGTATGTACCTGGATAGAAAACTGGTTACAGGAGTACATCCAAAGGGTAGTGATAAATGGCGTATCTGCTGAATGGCCAAGTGTTAAAAGTTAGGGTACTCAAAGGCGCTGTCTGATCATCCTTTATACATGATCATATCCTCATTAATCACTTTTCACGAGAGAAAAATTCATTTTAGCAGTTCAGCCAAGCTTTCCTCATAGCTGAGGGCCCCTATGTCTCTTTATCAGTTTACTTACTTTACTGGAGATGACAATGGATAAGGTTGTTAAAAGTAAGTTAGTTTGTCATCTGCAAAACAACTATATTTTTACACTCCTAGCATATAACTAATATTTTTTTACCAAAGGAAATTTGGGACTGACCTCCACAATAGATTAGCATGTGTTGAATAATTTAGTTTTCTTTATATCACAAAAGGTTTAACCGCATTCCCAACCTAGTAAGATTTTCCAAAATAGTATACCTGCATATAAATAACTTTATTTAATTTTTTTTTCTCCTTGTGTATTGAGCACGTGTTTGTGAGGTCAGCCATCTTTTTCTATTAAGCAGTATAGCTATGCTTACTGTGCCTTTGGAAGTTTTCTTCTGCTCCTCAGAGATGATTACATGGATGGCTGTGTGAGGTTGGTTTAGCAGGTACTTCTTCCTATTTTAACAAAGTTTGGGCCATTTACTAAAAAAATGAATAGGTAAAGTATCATAACTGGCTTCCATCATGAGAATGATAGTACAAAAATGAAAAAGTATGTTATTCCATTTGTACTAGTGCATTGGCATTTGTTAATGACAGGTGCACTTTTTTAAGGTCTGTCTTTTTCTTGTTGACAGCAGATATGAAAGAACCGAAAGCTCCCAGTCCTTCTCTCACTCGTCAGTGCAGCATCGAGACTGATCGGGTGTCCAAGGAATTTATTGAATTTTTGAAGACATATCACAAAGCGGGACATGATGTGTATAAGCAATGCAAAGTCTTCCTGGAGGCCGTGCACCACAAGAAGGTCTGTAAAGCTTTTTTTCCTTGTAGTTCTTTCGTGCATTTATGTTCTTTCATATGTTTTCCTAAAAAAGAAAAAAAAATTTGACAATGAGAGCTAGGAGCGCGTTGATTATTAAGCGTATATGAAGTCAAACAACTGAATACTTAGCTAAAATACCAAGTTGTGAACCATTGTACCTGCAAACAAACTGTCATTCTGTTCAGCCAAATTTTGGATCCCTTGCCTGAACAACAGAAAAATCTAATTATTTTTTTTCTTCTACATTTCTCTACTGTAATCAAACCAATACAATTTGGTCAAGACTGTTAATGAATAGTAAATGAGCAGAAACTCACTTAAAGCTGAACTCAATATTTTGTTTCATTTTACATAGTTCGTGTGGGCCAAGCTGGCCCACACGAACTATGTCCCTCACTAGTATCTGAGGTCACTGCTTGTGCTGTATGAACTATATGTAGCTGAGGCTACATACAGCATGCAGCACTATTACAGTCAGATCCGAGATCTTCCTGTCTCAGACTCGGAACACAACAGAGTCTGCTGGAGCTGCGCTCAGCCATTCTGAGAAAGCAATGTATTCTGTTAACGAATGCTAAGCTTTCTCTGATTGGCTAAGTCAGATCTTGTGACATCATCAGCCTGCTTCTCTGACGGCATTGCGTAATGTAAATGCAATTCTAGCGGTCCACCCCCAAACCCCCCCGCTGGCTTACCATAGACCTGATCATCCCTAATCATCTCTATGGTATTAAAAACCAGAAGCAACGAGTATTCTGTTTTGCAGGATGTAAACAAAGCCATTTTGCCTTGGGAAAGCATCTGATCACACCAATATTGGTGTGATCAGATACTTTAAAAGGCAGAGGAGGTCAAATAGACCTCAGGTCTCTCCGTAAAGAATACCTGTCACTGCTTATTGCTATCACAAGGGATGTTTACTTTCCTTGTGATAGTGAGAAAAGTGATCAAAAAAATGTAAAGGGACAGTGTAAAAATAAAAAAAATATATATTTATAAAAACTGTTTTTTTTTTTGTAACTGCCCCCGTCCCCCTGTGCTTGTGTAAACGGTGTTAGCACCACACATGTGAGGTATCGCCACAAATGTTATGGCGAGTGTAATATTTCTAGCACTGGACCTCTTGTGGAACTCTAAACTGGTAACCTGTAAAGGCTTAAAAAGTGTCGCCTATGGAGATTTTTAGGTATCATAGTTTGGCGTTGTTCTACGGGCATACACAATTTTAAAGCATGACATGTTGGATATCTTTTTACTTGGCATAACATCATATTTTATATTTTACTAAAAAAGGGGTATTGTGTTTGTGTGTACTACAATTCATTGAACTGAATTTTTTCCATGACATAAACAATTGCAAAACCTACCATTTTATTGTGTAGGGACTCTAATAAAAATATATAATGTATTGGGTAGGGATTCACTGAAATTTCAGCAGCCGAAACTGTTCTGTCCAAAATACCTCTATCAGCCTTTATCCGATATGAAAATAGGCACCGATACAGGTGCTGAAAATAGCCCTGCTGTCGTCATCTTCCGGTTGTTCTCAGCCTTACCTGAGAACCCATCCAACGATCCCAGCGCAGGACATAAACGTCAGTGAAGGAAAGATGGTCTCCACTCATCTCTGTGCCTTTAGAAGACCATTTCCGGCGCCATGTAAACAAGGCCATTTTCTTTTTTTTAAAAGCACTGACTAGATCAATGTTTTTTTTTGTTTTTTTTTTTTTTAAATTTTATGCTTTACCTTTTTAGAGGAGATATGTGTGGTATTCTTGTCCCCAGATCTCTCCATAAAGGGGGCCTATCACTGCTTTTTTGTATCACAAGGGATGTTTGCATTCCTTGTGATGGGGATAAAAGTGATTTAAAAAAAAAAATTTAAATTTAAAGGGACAGTGTAAAAAAAAAAAAATGTAATAAAAAAAATTCTCTCCCTCTGTTCCTGGGCTCACCCGCAGGGATGATCTGTGAACTGAGATCTGTTCCTGCATATTTTCTTGTTTGTCTATTGAATAATGAAGTTCACAAATCGCTACTTTACCCACATACGCCTGTTTTAGCGATACAGACGTATAGACTTTTTATTGTTATCCATATTGTGTTGTTTTTTTCTTGTTAGAAAGTGATTGATGTACATTTGTCATGACAAATGTCCAGTTGCTTATTAACGCTTTTGACTCACGAATCATTGACTTTGTCTTTCCATCAGTACACATAATAGCAGTAACCATTGTATCTATTTATTTTAATAAAAACGTATTGAAAAAAAAAAAAGTGTTTTAAGTGCCCCCCCCTCCTCGTGTTTGTGCACAGTGATGAACACATATGTAGCCACGCCCTTATATGTAAACGTTGTTCAAACCACACTTGGTAGGTATCGGTGCGAACATCAGAGCAAGAGCAATTGTATCAATAAACCTTCCCTGTAACTTGAAACTGGTAACCTGTAGAACTTTATAAAGCATCATCCATGGAGATTTTTAAGTACCGTAGTTTGGCGTGCGCAATTTTAAAGCATGACATGTTGGGTATCTAACTCTGAGTGACGTCATCTTTCATACTTTACAAAAAAAATTGGGGGATATATTGTTTTGTTTTGTTTTTTATTCACCAAAGTGTATTTTTTTTTCCCAAAAAAAATTTTCATTTCAGTGCACCACTAGTTTTAGGGTTCTGAGTCATTTTCTAGCAAAAAATTATGACTTTTGGAGTAGGAGTGAAATGTCGGAATTGACCACATAAGGCCACACGGTGGTGCCATTTTACTAAATTTTCTGCTTCAGAAATGGTTTATTATTTTCCCAAGAAATGCTCATTTCTTGTGCATTCAATAATCAATAATTCCATCATCTCTGAGATGTATCATGAGAAATTGAAGTTTGATTCTGCTGTGGAAACATGTTGATTGTCTCTCTTGCTCTCTCCTCAGGAGTCCAATATTGAAGAATTATCAGAATTTACTCAGGATTTTTTACCAGAACACAGCAGACAAACTGCAGATGTATTGGAAAGGTAACCCCGTCCTTTCAGGTGTTAACTAGAAAAACCATCACACACCATTCACTAAAGCTTGAAACCCATTGATTTTTTTTGTTCTCTTCCTTTAAAGTAGATAAGGTTTTTTCATGGCTCATCTGAAATTTTTTCATACATTTCTGACAACTTAATTTGTGTCACTATTGTTTGCAGGACAGTATTGGTTTTCTTTATGATACTAATCACAGTTCTGTCACCATCCATTGTTCCATGTGTATTTACTGGAGATGCTACACATAAAAAATAAACTCATTTTGCTTCCTATTTGTAAAGGCTGAACAGTCTATTCTACAGATGTGGTTATTTAAAATATGTAAATAGTTTACTTGCTGTGGGAAATTTTTAGATTCTTTTTCAGCACTTTACAACTATTGTTTTTTTTAATGTTTCCAGTTTCCTTTATACTATAAGTAAACGTCAAAATCCTAAAGCACGATTGTGTTTTTATTATTTATTTGTTTTCAGTTTTTTTTTTTTTCCTTTTTTCACCACATCACTTAATTTCCTTAACATGCTCATATTTATAAAAGGTCGACATTGTGATACTCAATTTGTGTTTTTTTTTTTTCATGTTAAAGCAGCATTTCTATATAGAGATTTTTTGACAAATTTGAAGGCAAAATTCGACATCACTACTATGGAAATGGTTGAATTAATTAAAATGTTACATACAAATGGCTATTTATCTTTTTACATATTAATAAAGGTATGACAAATACTCACTGGCATTGAATTGAATAATGATATTAACACACAAAGCTTTATTACAAATACATTTGATTTTAGCTGAAGAGATAAATAGATTAGTAGCCCCTAAGGTGAACATAAAGAAAAGGAACTTGTCAGTTGCCCCTAGCACACAATCAGGTTGTTTTTTTGTCAGTTTGAAATTAAAGGAGCCTATAAATTCGTTTGGCTGTTTCTAAACCCAACAATGCATATACCTAATATGTTTATAAATAAAAAGTGTGGCGCTAGTAAATATGAGATCTATGGACACATATATATATCTCAGATGATCTAAAAAACACGATGTGGTATATAGCACTAATACATCAGGTAAAATTAATAATAATGTCCAGACAAGTTGTCGCAGGATCCTGCGTAGAAGCTTAATATACCAGGATCAAATAGGAAAATTGCGCACTCACCGGACGCGCTATGGACAAGCGCATAGGATATATGACCCCTGGAAATCCCTCATCTAGTGGGGAAGATAGATATCCATCCGGGAGCAGATAATCCTGATGCAGTAGGCAGCTTCCAAATCCAGGAATCCCCTTAAGGCTGGGTAAATTTATGAGTATGGAACTCCCTCCGGTGGCAAAGGTGAGTAATAGGATATCCTGAAATTTATTAGCTCCAATAGGAGCCAAAAAAATACCTCATAGTGTAGTAGGTAAAATCAAGGAATTTATTAAAAAAAATATTGTGGATAAAACAGGGCAGAAACACTCAAACAGTGAATGATAAGTGAAGTGTGACTGACCCAAAAAGTAAGATGGCCGCCGGGCCTCCTCGTGGCTCCAGGCGGCTAAGACGTCACGCTCTGCATAAATTTACCCAGCCTTAGGGGGATTCCTGGATTTGGAAGCTGCCTACTGCATCAGGATTATCTGCTCCCGGATGGATATCTATCTTCCCCACTAGATGAGGGATTTCCAGGGGTCATATATCATATGCGCTTGTCCATAGCGCGTCCGGTGAGTGCGCAATTTTACTATTTGATCCTGGTATATTAAGCTTCTACGCAGGATCCTGCGACAACTTGTCTGGACATTATTATTAATTTTACCTGATGTATTAGTGCTATATACCACATCATGTTTTTTAGATCATCTGAGATATATATGTGTCCATAGATCTCATATTTACTAGCGCCGCACTTTTTATTTATGTGTATTTTTGAAGGTTTTGCTGAGATTACCTTGGGTGCATTGGCTACTGATGGGAGAGCGCTCACTTTTTTATTTTGTCCTATACCTAATATGTGCCTGCTGTGCCATGTACTAGTATGAAAAATATCATGCTCTCTTGTATTGCTTTCTTTGTGTGAAATCCCTGGTGTTCTTGCCAGTCCCCTCTGCTTTCCTAGCAAAAACTGACCACACTAGACATGAGAGCACAGCATGGTCAGTTCTCTAATTGTGCTGGGAACTCTGTGTGCTTTCCTTCAATGATCAGACAGTCCTGACACACACATCCCCTGCACAGCCATTAACTGGGAAGATCAGTGCCCTGCTGTTTCTTCTCCCACAGCTCTCTGTGCAACTGAGAACAGAGGGTGTGTGATCACTTATAAAAATAAAGGAAAAAAGGTATTTATAATATTTTAGTTTTTTTAACCTAATTAATATTTTTGTTCATTTCTATTTTAGACTCAATAGGTTGTTTTACAAAATGAGGGTTTACATATATTTTAATTATTCTTTCACTCTAATTTAAGGATGAGGACTTTTATACTCGGGTGTATGTTTAGTTGCTTATGGACACTTGATATATATTAGTTCTATTTATGAACACTAAGAACTGAACTCAACAAGTGCAAATGTGCTATGCCATAGGGAACATTTTAGAAATGTTAATTGTGTCTAAGCAGTCTCTTTGTTGTAAAGTACCTTCTTTTTCATATGCAATATGCTGATGTTATCTGTCTATTTGCACTAAAATATTTTGAAACCTAATAATAAACTCTACTGTTTAAAAAAAAATTGTGCCTAAGCAGTACACAGTAAAAAGAATTACCTTCAGTCTTCAGTCCCTTCCTAAAAATAGCAGTGCACTGGTATGGGAGTGTGCATAGAGCATCATAGCATTTCTTCAGTGTGAGATTCAATGCAATTGGAGTGAGATTTGGTGATGTCATTATTGTGCTGCTCATTGTTTCCTTTAAGGAGGCTGTAATATGTATAAGACCATTCACATTTATCACACATGTACACAAAGACTGCATTTTGCTTTGTCTTCATTCACATACCAATCTGATTTGAGAGCATTTCCTAACATTTGATGCCGAAATCTAATTTACAGAGTCTCTATTTACAAGGAACAGCGTTCCTATTCACTAGTCACACTAGTGCATAGTGTTACTGGTCATTAGTGACCAGTGCTGCAAGCCACAGTGTCACTGATCGCCACCACACTAGTACAGTTTTGTCTGACAAGTGCAGCAAGCCACAGTGTCTCTGATCACTTCCTCAACAGTCTAGTGTCACCAGCACGACCAGTGTAAGCCATCAACAGTATCCCTGATTTTCGCCACAGGCATCCCAGTGTCACCAGACCAGTGTAAGCAAGTAACAGTGTCCCTAATCACCTAACGGACACAGCAATAAATACCTGAAGGAAGAAATACCTGACAGGTGTTCTAATCCATCTCCACTTTACCTAAAACTAAACAAAAACTTTTGCCTTTGTTTATACTTTAACATGGTCTTCTTTAAGTGGTCAAAGGGCTCTAGAAATGAACAGATTTGCCAGAAGAAGTTTGACATCTATGTAATTCCTAGTCAGTTGATTTCCATGTATGTGTTGGCAATTGAATTGATGGGTTAGTGTGATTGTGGCCTGATATCAAGCAAAGGTATTGATGCTGGCAAGTACTTTTCCAACAAACAATTTGGCTGCATCTTTACCTTGTATAGCACCGATGTCAAAGATGTGCGCTGATGTCTGCATGCGTAAACCATATAGGTAAGCAGGTTTCCCTGCTTTTTCTGGAATTAGAGGTATTAAAACATTTCTGATCCTATTAGATAGTTATATTGGAAATCAGATGATGATCTGCATATACAGTACATTATATACATTCCCAACTGAGGACAGTGCGTACAGTCTCTCTTTACATTGCATACATTAAAAAACAGGTTATTCTGTGCATATGTGTAGTAAGATAGATATCCTGTGTGTGTGTGTGTGTGTGTGTGTGTGTGTATATATATATATAGATAGATATAGATATATATGATAGATAGATAGATATATATATTATAGATATCTTTTTCTGTACTGTGTGTGTGTAAGGGAAGAATTCCGTTCATTTTAATACAGACATCGTAATTAACAGTTTTTTGCTTTAGACTTGTAATGGTAATTGTATTTGGAATTTTTTCTTTATTGCTCTTATTACTTTTAAAAATAGTCCCGCCTAACAAAGTGGAAGAGGCAATGGACCAAATTGAGAAGTTTATCATGACACGCTTATACAAGCATGTGTTCTGTCCAGAAACTACAGACGATGAGAAGAAAGATTTGGCTGTGCAAAAGAGAATCAGGTGAGGTGAATATTTGGAATTCCATTTCGTGTGGATAGGAATGCAGTGTTCAATCAATCCCTTGGCAGATTGGTAAAATGTCTGTAGGAACCAATAGGGATTTTCTTATGCTATCTCAGTGCTGGTCATAAAGCTGACTGTGGCTTATTCCCACAGCAACAGAGATAACGGGGCAGCCCCATCCAGAGTGCTAAAAAAAATCAGTTTATGTTTTTTTGTTTTAAGATTGTAATCTATGATTGTATTTCTTTATTTCAACCATTAAAAAAAAAAAAAAAGTTATGATCCTACACCCAGATTCGATCCAGAGGAAGGCAAAAAAAACCGCAAAGCATGATCCAGTTTGCTCCTGCAGGGGAAAAAATTAATTCCTGATCCCCCTTCTCTTTTAATACAAGAGAGGATTTTGCTTTCTTTAGAAACCGCAGCTTGGCATTGCATGCCATTATTAAGCCTGTGATCTTCTCCACCATTGATTCCCCCAGTTGTACCCCCCTAGTATGTATGATGCATGCAAGTTATTCCACTGCACAGCTTGGTGTTATCTGCAAAGACTGAAATGGTATTTTTAATCCCAGACCCTATATCATTTATAAATATATTAAAAAGTAAGGTTCCCAACACTGAAACTTGGGGTACAACACTGACAACCCTAGATCATTCAGAGTATGAATCATTAACCACTATCTTAATACGATCTTTTAGCCAGTTTTCTATCAATTTACATATGGATTTTTTCCAAGCCTGTAGACTTTACCTTACACATTAGCCGTGTGTGGGGAACTGTGTCAAACGCTTTTGCAAAATCCAAGTATACCACGTCCACCGCCACCCCTCTGTCCAAGGTTTTGCTCACCTCCTCATAAAAAGAAATCAGATTTGTTTGACAACTTCTGTCTTTCATGAATCCATGCTGTCTGTTGCATAAAATTTTTTTTTCCAGTAAGAACACATCTATGTGGTCTTTTATTAAACTCTCCAGTATCTTCCCAACTATAGAAGTTAAACTAACAGGTCTATAATTACTTGGTAAAGATTTTGACCACTTTTAAAGATAGGCATCACATTGGCCTTTTGCCAATCCAATAGTACTATGCCAGTCATTTAAAGAGTCCCTAAAATTTAGAAACAATGGCTTTGAAATGACCGAGCTCAATTCTTTAAGGACCCGTGGGTGTATGCCATCCGGTCCAGGTGCTTCATTCACCTTTATTCTGTCAAAATATTTCTGGATCATATCACTTGTGAGCCAATGTGGATCATCTGGAGCTGTGTCAATAACATGCCCATTATGGACAAGAACTCCCCCATGCTAAAGAAGGTATTTAATAAATTTACCTTCTCTTTATCCCCAGTCACCCTATCTAGATTATTTTGTAAAGGGCCCACATGCTCGGACCTGACCTTTTTACTATTAATATATTTGAAGACTTTTTTTGGGGGTTTGTCCTGCTATCTTTTGCAATTTGTCGTTCGTTTTCCATTTTTACGGCCTTTATTTTCTTTTTGCATATTCTGTTATATTCTTTGTAATGTTTAAACAATGATAGCGTTCCTGAATTTTTATATTTAATAAAAGCACTTTTCTTATTATTTTTATATTATTATTATTATTTCTATAGCTTTTTTATTTATTTTTCTATAGCTTTTTTTTAACTTTGTCCGTAAGCCACAGGTTTGATTTTTAGCCTTTTAAGCTTGTTGCCCATGGGAATATATTTTTTGTAGAGTGTTCACATACAGTCTTTTTTGAAGAGCTCCCATTTCTGTATTGTGTTCATCGATGCCAATATTCCCTCCCAGTCTAAGTCTTGGAGAGCAGCTTTCAGCCTTGGAAAATTAGCTCTCTTAAAATTGAGCGTTTTTATCTTTCCCGTATGTGCTTGCTGTTTACATTTAACAATAAATGAAATCATAGTATGGTCACGCTACCCAGATGTTCTTTTATATGGACATTAGTAATGAGTTCTGCATGGTTTGAGATTATCAGGTCCAGCAGAGCATCAATCCTAATTATGGCCTCTATGAACTGTACCATAAAATTGTCCTGTAGTAGGTTTATAAATTTTTGCCCTTTAACTTTTTCCTGCAGTACCATTACTCCAGTCAATTTCCAGGTAGTTAAAATCCCCCATTATTATCACTGTCCCAGCCCTTGCAGCGCTTTCGATCTGGGCAAGGAGCTGAGTCTCCACCTCCTCATTAAGACTGGGAGGCCTATAACAAACTCCAATGATTACCTTTGTAGTACGCACCCCCATGTGCAGTTCCACCCATAATGCTTCAGCCTCATCACACTCTCCATCAACTAGGTCTTCTTTCACACTCGCTCTGAGATCACTTCTCACATAGAGACAGACACCACCACCTTTCCTATTTACTCTGTCTCTCCGAAAGAGAACATAGCCAGGAATATTAATGGGATATAGGTAAAGCGAGCGCTCAAAAATCAGCTGCTGGAACACTCCAAGGAATCACTGGACCTCATAACATGAATAATAAATAATAATATAGTGCAGCGCTGTAATGCTAATAGGGATACAAGTAAATAAAAGTAAGTAAAATAAGATGAAATAAAAGTTCATAGAGTCCTTTATACATTAAAAAGTGATTGCAAAAGAAAGTTGTGTGAAGACCTCCTCAGCATTAGATAGGTGACTGGAACCAAATAGATAAAATGCGCACTCACCGACCGCGCATTTAAAATGCGCATGTATGCAATTTTATCCAGATAATCGACCAGGCATGCGGATCAGCCAAACGCATAGGTCATCCCTCTCAGGTAAGAACATCAGCCTTGGGTGCAGTAATATGCCTCTAGGTCCAGAGAGCCTTCTTGCCCAAAGTGTTAAGGTAGGTTGAGCTCCCTCTCCTGGTTACAAGGTACCTTAGGAATTGGCTGCTGTAAATCTGGAACCCTGTGACTTCCTGTATGCCTTTCCCAGTGTATGAGGGGCGCTCATGACAGAGGGGACCCAGGTGAGCTGACCACAGCTGCCAGCTCCACACACCAATATCTGAATAATAGGAATATTAATGGACCAGTCATGTGAAGAATGAAACCAAGATTCAGCAATACCAATTAAATCATAGTTCTGTTCATGCACCAAAGCTTCCAACTCCCCTATTTTGTTTGGCAGACTTCTGGCATTGGTGAACAAACACGTTAATTTATTGACACCTTGTGCCACTTCTTTTGCATATTTTTTTTTTTCATACAAAGCAATTCCACTGGTTGTTTGTAACATGGGAACTTTGTTATCTGCCATAGCCCTCCCTCCATATTTCCCCATTCCACCCACCAATAAGAACTGACCCCTGTCTGATCTGTCTTTTCTCTATATGTATACAAGCTTTTTTTTAATATACAAGTAAATGTTTAATACCTGAAAATGTCTTTATTCTTGTTTCTGCTAGAAAGTAAGGGATACATATTTATAGAGATATAACCTATTCATGCCTGTAAGTAAATGTGAGCGTTGTATGTCTACCTGACAAAAAAAAAAAAAATAACACGTTTTACAATAATTTTACCTACCTGACCATAATGGAATATAACTAAGTCCACTTTAACAACCCACTGATAGCCTGCCCTAATCTACTCTACTAACTAGTATTGGGAAGAGTCGTGCTGTGAAGCAAATCTTTCCATTGGTTTCTCTCTTGGAGGTTCATGGAAATAGTTTCTTTATGTACAATTTGTCAGGATGTATTTTAAAGAGTATTTTAAAGTTCTGCTTCTGATGATTTCCTCAGGGCCTTACATTGGGTCACTCTTCAGATGCTATGTGTTCCAGTCAATGAGGACATTCCTGAAGTGTCAGATATGGTTGTAAAGGCTATAACAGGTCAGTATTTAAATTAATGTTCATGAGATGTCTCAGGGTTAGGCTGCAAAGGTGTCAGAGCTGCAGAATGACAGGGATATGTCTGTCCCCCATAAAATGAATGAGACTGTGACATGTGTGCCCACTAAGAAGATAAGCCAACTGGAATGTTTTTGGGAGAAAGGCTGTGTGGAGCTGGACAGGGCCGCACAATGAAGATCACTATAGTGGGGAAGGAGGTTAGTATTTAACACATCACTTTGCATGCAGGGGTTGAGGGAAATGATTAAAAGACCATATATATTTATATACAGTGGATATAAAAAGTCTACACACCTCTGTTAAAATGTCAGTTTTATGTGATGTAAATAAATTAGACAAAGAAAAATCATTTCAGAACTTTTTCCACCTTTTAATGTAACCTATAAACTGTACAAGTCCTTTGAACAACAAACTGAAATCTTTTAGGTGGAGGGAAGTAAAAATAAAAAACTAAAATAATATGGTTGCATAAGTGTGAACGCCCTTATACTAATACTTTGAAGCACCTTTTGATTTTATTCCAGCACTCAGTCTTTTTACGTATGAGTCTACCAGCATGGCGCATCTTGACTTGGCAGTATTTGCCCACTCTTACGTGCAAAAACACATTGCGAGGGCATCTCCTGTGCACAGCCCTCTTCAGATCACCCCACAGATGTTCGATCGGATTCAGGTCTAGGCTCTGGCTCAGCCATTCCAAAACTTTAATCTTCTTCTGGTGAAGCCATTCTTTTGTTGATTTGGATGTATGCTTTGGGTCGTTGTCATGCTAAAAGATGAAGTTCCTCTTCATGTTTAGCTTTCTAGCAGATGCCTTAGGTTTTGTGCCAATATTGACTGGTATTTGGAACTTTTCCTAATTCCCTCTACCTTGACTAAGACCCCAGTTCCAGCTGAATAAAAACAGCCCTAAAGCATGATGCTACTACCACCATGCTTCACTGTAGGTATGGTGTTCTTTTGGTGATGTGCAGTGTTGTTTGTTTTTGCACTTATGGCCAAAAGGTTCAACCTTGGTTTCATCAGACCATAACACATTTTCCCACATGCTTTTGGGAACTTCAGATGTGTTTTTTCAAATTTAGCCGGGCTTGGATGTTTTTCTTTGTAAAAAAAAAAAAGCTTTCGCCTTGCCACTCCATAGCCCAGACATATGATGAATACGAAAGATTGTTGTCACAAGTACCACACAGCTAGTACTTGGCAGATATTTCTGCAGCTCCTTTAATGTTGTTGTGGACCTCTTGGCAGACTTCCAGACCAGATTTCTTCTTGTCTTTTCATCAATTTTGGAGGGACGTCCAGTTCTTGGTAATGTCACTGTTGCGCCATATTTTCTACACTTGACTGTCTTCACTGTGTTCCATGGTATATCTAATGCCTTGGAAATTCTTTTGTACCCTTCTCCTGACTGATACCTTTTAACGATGAGATCCCTGCAATGCTTTAGAAGCTGTCTGCAGACCATGGCTTTTACTATAGGATGTGACTAAGAAAATGTCAGGAAAGACCTACTAGAACAGATGAACTTTATTTGGAGTTAATCAGAGGCACTTTAAATGATGGCAGGTGTGTACTGACTCCTATTCAAATGATTTTGAATGTGATTGCTTAATTCTGAGCACAGCTACATCCCCAGTTATAAGAGGGTGTGCACACTTATGCAACCACATTATTTTATTTTTTTATGTTTTACTCCCCACCCACTAAAAGATTTCAGGTTGTTTTTCAATTGAGTTGTACAGTTTGTAGGTCACATTAAAGGTGGAAAAAGTTCTTAAATGATTTAACTTTGTCTCATTTTTTTACATCATAGAAATCTGACATTTTTAACAGGGGTGTGTAGACTTTTTATATCCACTGTAGCCAAGGGCACTGGACCTACATGAGGAAGATGCAGGGATGAGACTAGCACCATTAGCAGTGCACCAGACGACTAACACTATTTTGGAAGATGCTTGCATTGTGGAATTGATCAGTTATAGAGAGACTTTTGTTTTTGTACATTCTTTATAGCTGAAAATAGAGTGGGAGTCCTGACAGTTTTTTAGACCAGTGCATACAGTGGTTATTGATTTTTATGGTGCATTTAGGAAACTATAATTAAGAATAATTTTCTTTAAATTTCTGCAGATATCATAGAAATGGATTCAAAGCGGATTCCTCGGGACAAGCTTGCCTGCATTACTGGGTGCAGTAAACAAATCTTTAATGCAATTAGAATTACAAAGAATGAACCTGCTTCTGCTGATGACTTCCTCCCTACTCTAATCTACATTGTGCTTAAGGCAAACCCACCACGTCTTCAGTCAAATATTCAGTATATCACTAGATTTTGCAATCCTAGTCGACTGATGACTGGGGAAGATGGATACTATTTCACAAACCTGGTGAGCAGTGTAGTATGCTGTCTTTCTGATATCCTTGTATTCTCTTTTCACATGATTTTGTTTTAAGATGTGCCTTCCATGCACCTTATAGGGAAATTCCCTATTCATTAAAAAAATAATAGAGCATATAAAATTGCCACATATGCTATTTTGTAATTTAATATTGATAAAAATGACCGTTCCATTTCAATCTGAAGGTGTCTTAAGATTCTAAAACTTTAAAAAAGAAAATGCAATGCAATGTGGCAACTTGGAGGCTTTCTGTACTCCTTTTGGTGTACAGAACGCCCCCAGAAATGATGTTTCCTGCTTCTGTGATTTCCACACTGCTTTTCTCAGATGTCTGTGTGATGATCCCTAAATGTTAAACACCTCTACAGGGATGCAGAAACTGTTGCCTTCCTCACTGAACACTGAAAGTGCACCAGGTGGTTATAATGAAGCAGATGGTCTCATTCAGGAATCAGAGTTAAAAGAGCAAACCATTTCACTTAATCATACAGAACACAGGCAGAAAATTCATACACAATGGGTTATAGGAGTGTACCCTCAGATGATTGGACACTATCAAAGCTTTAGAGGACACGTCTCCAAGTGCCTCCCCAACCCTTCCCCACTCTGAGTCCTCAGTTTTATGCTACTGTTTGAAGGTGATTTGACCTTTTCTCCTTTGCTGCGAAAATTTCCCTTAGCTTAACTAGTTTATTATTTTATCTTTGGGTTCTACAATCAAACCCTCACTGTCTTCTAATGCCAATATACTGTAGAAGTAGTGTATCCAGATTGACACATTCTCAGGAAAAGCTTGGGAGCTGTAACAATGGGGACAGCCCATAATGTTGCTTTGGCCACTCACCTTGGCCCTTGTCTTCTTATACTCCCTGAGATAGAATAGTTTATTCCTTATGCCTTAGCTCATTGCCTCTGTCTGCAAATGCCTTGGCATTGTGTAACTTGACTATCCTCCATCTTGCCGTGCCTCTACAAGTATAAAGAGACCTACAGAAGTCTACAAAACATTAACATCTGTTAATGAACAGGTAGAATGTGCAGTTTACGACGATTGGGTCATTCCTAAAATTATTTTCACTCTCCCAAAAATCTTTGCCAAAGTCTTTCCTATGGAAAAAGTGGTTGATCATGCCATCTCTGTCCTAAGAAAACATCACTGTACCTATTGAAGATGTTCTTTCTTTCAAAGATTCTGTGGGTAATAAATTTGAGACGCTTCCAAAGGCTTTCTTCAATCTTGCAGGACCGGCCTTGCAGCCAGTTCTTTCTGCAATTTCAGTATGTAAAACTGCAGCTAATTGGACTAATACAATAGTTCTAGTACAACCAAAATGACCCTGTATTTCAGGATCATGCGCTTATAGAGCAATTACAGCAATTGCATTCTGCTCTGCTTTTTTTTGTCTGGATGCTATAGAACATGTCAGGAGACACATTTCCAAAGTGGCTCTAATCTGCATATACATGCACAAATTACTTTTGGCTAAAAGCTTGGACAGCTGAAGCTGCCTGCAAGAGGTGCCTCCTATGTATGCCTTTCCAAGGAAGATTGCTGTGCAGTGAGGCACTTGACCAATTCATCAAAGAGATCACAAGTGGGAAGGTGTTACTTACACAGCAGAATTCCCACCTCAGGAGCCCCTAGCTCCACTAAACACAGAACATCTTGCTTAGATCAGGCTTCACCTTCAACAAAGGCCCCAAAGCCTTCCCCAATACCCTCTTCACAATGAAGGGGTACCCCTCACTCCTAGGAGTGGGAGACTTTTGTTGCCGTTTGCCCTTCTCTGGGTCACAGACATCCCAAACCTGATTGTTTAATAGGTGGTTTCAAAGGTATACAAAAGAGTTCAAAACTCTACCACCCCACCTCTTTTTATTTCAAATCAACCAAAAACTACCCAAGCACTGTTAGATTTGCAGAATGCCATTAAGCACCTGTTATCCAAGCGAAACATTGTGCCATTACTGCCACAAGACAGGTTAAAAGGCTTCTGCTCAAATCTGTTTATGGTACCAAAGCCCAACACGGGTGTTCATTCTATTCCACCTTCTTTTGAAAGATTCATCTCCCTTGCAGCTCTCAGAAAATGTCCACAAGACAATTTAATCTGCCCCAGGCCTTTGGCTGGGTGATCAAATATAACAAATCTGCTCACCAGCCTTCCCTTTCGCCTGGAATACTTGGGTCTGGTCCTGGATAAATCCCAAGCAAAAGTCTTTTTCCCAGAAAAAGTGCTTTTTTTAACAGTAGATGCTCAAGGGATTTGGGATGCAAGAAAAATACAATGAGATTCCCTATGAGATTTCTAGGCCTAATGGTAGCCTTCTTCGAGGCTACCTTTTTGGGCAATTCCTTGGGCGCCCTCTCCAACTAGCAGGCTCCTCCTTTCAATTTACCCATGCTCCTGTCCAGCCAAGCAAGGAATTTTCTATCTTTATTACAACAGATACAAGTCTCCAAGACTGGTGTGCCAAACCCTAACAGTCCAAGGAAAATGGTCACAGGGGGAAAACAAGTTCCCCACCAACATCTTGGAGCTCAGAACAGTCAGGTCGACCCTGCAACACTTGACCCCACTTCTGAAAGGGCACCCAATCATCTCATGGACAGAAACTCATTGTACTGCAGTCTTTGCAATCCACATCCGAGGAATGGACAACTGCCACCATAACAATTTAATCACCATACTTTATCAAGGGGAATAGGCCATTCATCCACATGTCTTCAATCTGATATGTCCCAAATGGGGGATTCTGGACATGGATATCCTAGCCTCCAGGCACAACAAACTACCTCTGTTTGTTGCGTGAACCAGGGATTCTGTAGCTCTAGCCTCAGATGCCTTGATAATCCCCTGGTCTCAGTTCAGGCTAATTTATGTTTTCCATCCAGTGCAAATCCTACTTCGTCTGCTCAAGAAAATAGAGCAAGAGGGAAAAATAGTGATTAACCAACCTGGCCCAGAAAAATCTGGTACACAGGTATACTTGGACTTTATGCAGATGGCCCCTGATCTCTTCCCAACAGGCCATATCTGCTATCTTAAGACCCTCTGTTCTTTTCTACTTCTCAGTCACTCGCTTTAATGGCATGACAGTTGAAACCCATGTTTTAAAGGAGGGATTTCTGATTCTGTTATTCCTACCTTGCTAAAAGTAAGCAAAGCTTCCTCCTGAAAATCCTGTGACAGCACCTGAAAATCCTTTTTTACCTGGTGTAAGCACAGGCCCTTCAATCCGGGAGATTACTCTGTACCTTGCATTCTGGCCTTCCTGTAAACGGGTCTTGACCAGAACTTGTCACTAAGCAAGTTCTCTCTCAAAGGTCAGGTTTCAGTCTTATCCATTTCAAAGGCCTATAGCTTCACTCTCCTTTTGTAAGGACCTCTCTTCAAGGCATATTTCATATTAGGCTTCCCATGCTGCATCCCATGCTTCCTTGGGATCTCAACTTGGTTCTCTCTGCCCTGCAGAAACCACCCTTTGAAGTTATCAGTGATATTCCCCTAGAGTAGTGATGGCGAAGCTTTTAGAGACCGAGTGCCCAAAATGCAACCCAAAACCCACTTATTTATTGCAAAGTGCCAACACTGCAATTAAACCTGAATACTGAGATTTTAGTTTAGAAAAAAACTACTCCTACATTAACATCTTTTGTCTTAAAAGAAAAACAATAACAGAGCTTTCAGTGATAAACAGCTTTTTATTGTAAGGTAAAAGTTTGCATTTGGCATGCTTTTGCACAATTAAAGGGGGCAAAGTTCCACTGACCACAGCATGAGGGGGCAAAGTTCCACTGACCACAGCACGAGGGGGCAAAGTTCCACTGACCCACAGCACGAGGGGGTAAAGTTCCACTGACCACCAGGTTTTGGTCTGCTCTAAAAAAGGCATCTGACTGCATTTCCTACCTTGTGGGCCTGTGGGGGCTTCTGCTAAAATCGCAGTCCATTGATCCCAGTCCAAGCAGCACACTGACTGGACGAGTTGTGGCTAATGAGTTGCAGCTCGTGACATCATCGTTTGGCGCCACTACTCCTTTCTGAGCATGTGCATTGGCCCCTATGTGTGCCGCTATCCGATGTTCAGCTGCTGGGACAACTTGTCTAGCGTGCCAACAGAGAGGGCTCTACGTGCCTGCTGCGGTACACGTGCCATAGGTTCGCCACCACTGCCCTAGAGGATCTCTCCTCCAAAGTAGCCTTGGCAGTCAAACATGATTCTTTTATTTTCTCCTGAAGATGGTTTCAGTATTTCACTTCAACAAGGACATTCATTGTCTTACCATCTTAATGCCCTTTTCCTAAGTATTCAAAAGAAATCTCTATGTTGCTGGAAATAGAGTCATCAGAATAGATCTCACGGCTACTGCTCCAATCAGACGGATGGACTCCTTGTTTGTCCTGTCCTTGGGACCCCTCAAGGACACTCTGCTTCAAGGTCCACCATCGCATGATGGATATATAATCTGATTGCAAGAGTTTAACTTTTCATAGGGAAATCTCCTGAGCCTTTTACATGCCCATTCCACCAGATCGGTGGGAGTTTCCTGAGCATTTTGGCACCAAGCCTCTGTAATCCATTTATGTGAGATTGGGTCTTCTAATCTTTGTTTGGGCCTGTTGGCACAGTTCTGCTTGCCTCATTTTTACTCTTCCTATTCATTGCTTGAGGATGTCTCGAGGTGTATGAATGCTTTGCCTGTGCCCTGTACTGTACAATTAAGTCCATATTTTGGAGTATAGTACAGGACACAGGACACCCTCCCTTCCATTCCTAGGTTAACTCTCCATTGCCTGCAAAACTGAGGTCTCATGGAGTAGGTTAGGGGAGGCGCCCAGGGAGCATGTCCCTCTGAAGCTTTGCCAGTGTCCAATCACCTGAAGGTACTCTCATATAACCCATGGTTTATGAATACTCTACCTGTGTCCTGTATTGTGCTCCAAGATACAGGAATTGGCAAGTAATAATTCCTCTTTTTGATGTAAATTGTTGAAACGTAGAATTTTTTCTTTTGTTAGACCCCTTAGGGCACTTTCACACATATGCATTTTTATGGCGCTTTTGCTGTGCTTGCAGTGCATTTTTTTAAAGAACATGTCACTGAAAAACTTCACCAAACACGCTTCTCTAGTGCATTTTTGAGGCGGTTTCCATTGTTTTCAATGGGAAGAGGCGTTTTGGGAGAACTGAACAAACATGCTCCAAAAACGCTGCAAGCAGGATTTTTTGCACCGCAACGGAAACGCAAAGCCACACTGTGAAAACATACATGGAGATAAATAGGGAAGCATTTTCTTGAGCTTTTCAGGCGCTTTTTTTTTTTGCCTCAAAAACTTTAGTGTGAAAGCAGCTTAAGTAAAAAAAAAAATCTTTACTTAGGCTGACCATACACTATGCAATTTTCGGTCCAATTTTTGCCCAATTTCCTTTAGATTTACCTTCAACTATGTAGTTCAAGGGCCTGCCTAATTGTACAATTGAAAGTTTTGTTTGTTTTGACCTCATAGTATATGGTTTTTGGTAAATCTAAAGCAAAATTCTCAAGAAAATTGTGTAATGTTTGGCCAGCCTTAGATGCTGTAGTTACTCTTTAAACAGGGCTTTTACATAGTGTAGTTAGCAACTCCAAGTGGTCTCACGAACCAGTTGGCTAGAACCAGTAAATAAAGGAGCTTTTCACTATTTCCTGCTCTTTAGGGTCCCAGGGGTGGTCTGCAGCAGTTTTTTTCTCTTTTTTTTAAGTGACCACAGATTCACTTTAAAGTTCTGAATATTTTAGGAATAAAAGTGAAACACCAGTTAAAAAATTAAATTTACACTTGATTAGTATGCATAATATAAAAACCTTTTATACTATTCATTATTGTAATTGCTGATTGTCTGATTTGAAATAACTGTCTAATCTAGACATTCAGCAATTCTGTGCTTCACTGACAGCAGTGTGGCTGCTCAAAGGCACTTACTTCCTAGTACCATTGTCTGTGTAGGCAATGTCCCACTCAGCTCTGACCCTGGTCCTGCCCAGCCATGCCTCCGTCTGGCCCTGCTTCCGCCCCACCTGTTCTGCCCGGCCCAGCACCTTCTAGCCCTAATGTTTATGCCCACTGGCTAGGTACTTCTGGAGATAACATTGCTAGGAGGAAACCGATGCATCCACCAGCCGCCTTGTCTGTATAAACTCAGAGCCTTTGTGGTCATGTGACAGCAATGAATTTTAAAGGAAAAAAAGTTGATAAAATCTTTTAATCATTTTACACGTAGCAAGGTACTTCTGTGGTTTAGCTGACTGCAGGGAGTTATTTGAAAGCATTCCTTTTTTTTCCTCTTTAATCCTGATATAGAGCAAAACAAGTAGTCTGTGAGCTTCAGCTCTAACAACACATAGGATCTGATGGCGCTACAAAGACTTTGGAGGTTGTTTGCAAAGTTGACTGTATATTTGCACATTAGAATCTGGTAAAACTGCACAATACGTTGGCAAAATAGGAATGTATGTGCATTTGGAAGGTAAATACAGTGAGGAAAATAATTATTTGATCCCCTGCAGATTTTTTAAGTTTTCCCACTTTACAAAGATATGAGTCTCTAATTTTTATCATAGGTGTATTTTAAATGATTGATACAGAATATCAACCAAAAATCCCCAAAAAAACACGATACATGTTATAAATTGAGTTGCAGTTAAATAAGTATTGGATACCCAAGCAAAACATGATTTAGGACTTGGAGAAACCCTTGTTGGCAAGCACAGAGGTAAGAAGTCTCTTATAGTTGATTACCAAGTTTGCACACATCTCAGGGGGGATTTTGGTCCACTCTTCTGTACAGATCTTCTCTAAATCTTTAAGGTATCTGGGTTGTCGCTTGGCAACTCGAAGTTTCAGCTGTCTCCATAAATTCTCTATAGGATCAAGGTCTGGAGACTGGCTAGGCCACTCCATGACCTTCTTCTTGAGCCACTTCTTTGTTGCCTTGGGTCATTGTTATGCTGGAAGATCCATCCACGACCCATCTTTAGTGTTCTCTGGGGGAAGAAGGTTCTCATACAAGATTTTACAATACGTTGCCCCATCCATCGGCCCCTCAATGCGGCATAGTCAGCTTGTACCTTTTAGCAGAGAAACTGCCCCAAAGAATAATGTTTCCAGCTCCGTGTTTTACTGTAGGGATGTTCTTAGGGTCATAGTCAGAATTTTTCTTCCTCCAAACACAGTGAGTCGTGCTCAATTTTGGTCTAATCTGACCACATTACTTTCTCTCAATCCTTCTCTGAATCATTTAGATGTTCGTAGGCAAACTTCAGATGGGCCTCTACATGTGTTTTCTTGGGGAGGGGAACCTTGCAGGCGCTGCAGGATTTCAGTCCATGGCGGCATATTGTGTTACCAATGATTTGTTTGGTGACTGTGGTCCCAACTGCCTTGAGATCATTCACAAGCTCCTCCCGTGTAGTTCTGGGCTGATCCCTAACTTTTCTCATGATCATCCTTACCCCATGAGGCGAAATCTATCATGGAGCTCTAGACCGAGGGCGATTGATGGTTATTTTGTATTTTTTTTTTTTCCATTTGCGAATAATCACTCCAACAGTCTCCTTCTCACCAAGTTTCTTGCTGATGGTCTTGTAGCCCATTCCAGCCCTGTGCAAGTCTATAATCCTGTCCCTGACGTCCTTTGACAGCTCTTTGGTCTTTCCCATGGTGATAAAGTTTGAATGGAAGAAAGAGATTCTGTGGACAGGTGTCTTTTATACACATAACGAGTTGTCATTAGGAGCACCTTCTAACAACAACTTCGTCGTTAGGAGCACCAGGAAGAATCTGTGTACCACATGAGCACATAGCCAGTCTGTGAGAGCCAGAATTATTGTTGGTTGGCAAGGGAACAAATACTTGTTTTACTCACTAATCTGCAACTCCATTTATAGCATTTGTATTGTGTTTTTTCTGGATTTTTGGTTGTTATTTTGTCTGTATCATTTAAAATGCACCTATGATAAAAATTATAGATCTTTCATTTCCTTGTAAGTGGGCAAACCTTCAGGGGATCAAATAATTATTTTCACCACTGTATGTATGACCAAAATGTTTATAGTCTTTGTTATGAAATATAATAACATTTTCATTCTCTGTTGTGTCTCCTCTTTAGTGTTGTGCAATAGCATTCATTGAGAAGCTGGATGCTCAGTCATTGAACTTAAGCGAAGAAGAGTTCAGCAGGTACATGTCTGGCCAAGCTTCTCCAAAAAAACATGATTCTGACATCTGGGACGCAGACACATGCCCAGGAGTGAAACAGATGCATAGGAACCTTGACTTGCTCTCACAGCTGTCTGAGAGGCAGGAGCGTATTGTGACAGAAGCCAAGAAGTTAGAAAAGGACCTGATTGACTGGACAGATGACGTAACTCGTGAAGTGCAGCACATTGTGGAGAAATACCCACTAAACATAAAATCTAGCACCCAAGCCTTGGCATCTATCGATTCCGAAAATGTAGAGGATGACCGTCTGCCCCCTCCATTACAGCCACAGGTCTATGCTGGATAGTCCCTGTATGCTGAACTCCATTCTGTTACTCCTGTAAACAGGTCATCCCTTTGGGACAACACTGAATCGGTTTATTAAGAACATGAGAAGGGGGATGATTTATAAATCCAGTTTGTTTTCTTTTCTTAGGGTCCGAACCACTCCTGGACTGCAAACTTCATTTCACTATTTTCGTAAGGGGAAAAGCAACCTAGTTTGCATTGTGTTTTCTTAAAAGATAACTAGGTTTTAAATAAACTTGAGCTGTGCAGCAGACAATTTCTAGCAAAAATTTAAATATAAACTGCTATCACTAAGCCCTTGTTTACATTTGTGGCAACCCTCTTCGCCTCTCTGAAAAGTGTTCCGTGGTGGATTGCTTTTCAGATGGAAGCTGACAGGTGGGTGGGAGGCCATAGGTTGCCTCTGTTTAAACCCCTAAATACTCACACCACCACGAAGTGCATTGTATGCAATTGCAGGGTAATTGTGTTGGCCCATTCACTTGAATGGATCAATTTTGGCAATAGTATTGACTGCTGACCTTGATGGGGCATAATTTTTGCCATGAAGCAAAGCATCGCAACCTGGCTCGTGTATACCCCTTCCAGTTAACTTTGCAGCTTGGGGGGGAGGGGGGCACTAAAACCACTGCTCAGTAGCCGTTTTTTTTTTTTTTTTTTAACACTTCCATCCTCAGCAGCAAGTGTAAATGAGTCCTAATTAGTCTGTGATCAGTTTTGTCACATTGTCCTGATCAGGGTTTGAGCAGTGTTTGAATGCATGGCCACTGTGTATAAAATCCAGAGCGGTCAGTAATTTATTCCAAAGGAAGTTGCGGACAAGGTTTTTGTCAAGCTAGTTCGTAGTGTTCTTCAGCTTAAAGGTACTTATTTATATTTTTACTATACATTTTTTGCTTGTTGATGAGCTCAAGTTTTGTTTACAAACGCCGTTATTCTTAAAGGAATGGTCTGCTCTCCACTAATAATTTCTGAAGCCAACTTATTAAATAGCACTTTTTTTTGTAGACTAATCATAGTATATATTGTCTCATCCTGAATCTTGCTAAATATTTCTTCTGCAAATCAAAATATTTTTATATCATTTTTTAGGTACATGTTGCCAGAAGCAACAGTGACCTTCTAGGCATAGTTGTTTTAGGTGTCCCTGTATCTATAACTTAAAAGAATTGCAAGACTGATTCTAGCTGTAAGGATTCTAGGAACCCTATTTGATGAATTTGACTGTTTTCTAATTAATTAAAGAACATGCTGGACTTTTATGGGATCAATCCATTCTAAACTGGTATATTCAGGTTAATCCCCAAAAAGAGAACAAGCTCCTGGGTGAAAGCCCCGGAAATTACTAAATTACTTTGAGGACTAATCATTGTAGCAAAAAGTATGCACTATGCTAACCAATAGGGATCACCTTTCTAGGACTTTTGCTTGTCAACTGTTTTTTTAAGGCCTACTTTTAAACAGGTCCAACGTCACCACAGGACTTTCATTTGCATTTTTCATTGTGGCTGTAGTCTCCAAAATACAAATGCAATCAGTAGTATTCCTAGCTTTATATAGCTGCACTGATAAAACTGAACAGCTTCAGGTTCGCCTGCCACCTTTGGTAGGTGTTCCCATTTTATCATTGAAATAATCCCATTTTAAAACAGTATTAAACTCTGCTTTTTTGTTTTAATAAGGCCTTAGGTGGTTTCTGCCATTATGTGGTAGTATGTAGCACATTGTGACAGACATGCCTGTGAAACCAAGCCCTCCGCCTCTGAGCTCTCACAGCTCTTGTTGCTTCCATCTTTGTCTGGTCTTCCTCCAAGGTTAGTGCTCTCCTGCCACTTTAATGGCAGGGCTGTGAGGATGTCACTCCCGCACATGTGCACAGGAGTCACCATCATGGCACGTTATTCTCTGCCATCATGGCACAGAAAGAAATACAATATAGGAGAAAGTAAAAATGTTGGGTTTAATACCGCTTTAAGGTGGCAGCAGTTTGTAAACAAGCTTGTTGTAGTCTTTGGTCTTAGCATAGGAGGTTTGCAGCTCCATTTATGTCTTGCCTGAAATGCGTTTTCTTTTCAGTTTTGTATTTTAGAGTTTCTTTATGGGTCAGCATTAAAAGCACAGCAGCTTACTTTTGAGAAATACATTATGCAGACTTGAGCAATATTCACAAGAAAGGTGCTTATACATTGACTAGAAACTGATGACAGTAGGAATTATCACTGCATACTTCTTTGCCCTATCTGCAGTTATGGATTTTTGTGAAATATGACTGATGTACCTGATTTCCATGATTATACATGGAACTATGTTTTACTTGCTAAATATTTGAGGTTTGACTAATTATAAAATATTTATATAGTGTTTCAATTGAAGACAAATTACTCATAACATTGGGAAAGTCTAACTGCGCATATTTTGTTGTATTTTTTCCTATTTTCATTGTGGGAATGAATCTGTAAATAAAACAGGGCTCACATTATGAGGATAGATGCATTTAATTAATTGCAAAACAAGTTCATTACCAAATACATGAAACTGTAACTATATTTATGGTTTCTCCAGTAAAGATACATTCACACCTGAGCGTCACGTTTTCAAGCGTTTTTTTCAAGTGTTTTTGAGCATTTTTTTGGAGCAGAATTTTTCAACTAGGTGTTTGTAGTGCTGCTGGAGAAGGGGTGCAGAGCTGCTGTTTGAGCAGAAAACGTGTGACAAAACGGTTGAAAAAAACGCTAAAAAATGCTCATTTTGTGCTTTTAAGGCATCTCCATTAAAGTCTATGGGGACAAAAGCGCTCAATTGTGTCTGAAAAGCAGCTCATGTATTTTTTTTGAGCGATAGGCATTTTGCTACTTGCGACAGAATGCTCAGATGTGAAGAAGTGCTATTGAAAATAGGTTTTTTGTTTGTTGAGCATTTTTGAACTTCGAACTACAAGCTACAAAGCAGTCGTGTGAATAGGCCCTAATGCTTTAACACAGATTGATTTTTTTTTTTTTTTTTGTATGACTTCACCATCGTTACCTGAAGGAAACTAAAATTTTCCGCTGTGTGCCTATAATTGGTCCACTGGACATTGGACACTTCACTACTGGTCCTTTTGCTACTTCGAAGTTGATATGCCTGGAGGGGTGTTGTAAGGCAGGATATCAGACTGTCAGGTATAAAGCATCATGTCAGTCTCTGGAATAAGGTACAAGCCAAGCATTTTTTCGATATTCGTGATTCAATTCTTCAGTGGTGTGTATGCCTCCCAAATTTTTGAGATGAAAAAGGGACACTGTCCAGAAAAAAATATGTAGACAAATGGCAAAACCCCTGCCACTCCTCTATTTACACCAGACCACTAAGAATAATGATGCAGTGTTGGGTAATCCCGTAATGCCAGTAACTCCCAGCCCTTTAAGGGGTTTCTGATGCCAGGAGGCAGGGTTTCTGATGATGTTACCGCTGCTATTGGTTGTCACAGCGGTCACATGATCGCAAAGCTCTCAATCGCAAGTAGAGATCAGTAGCTTTCCTAGTAACCACCGGTAACTGTACCGGGAGCATGCAGGGCGCACGCTCTCAGCACAGCTTTGTTTACATTCTGGTATTCATATATGCGTCCTCTCAGCGTTGAGGCCCACCTGCCGAGAGGCCGCATATTGTCAGCGCGAAGAAGTTAAACCTGCATGTGCTTTTTTCACAACTATTGTACTTAGATTTAAAAAATATCAAATGCAGTCACTGAAGTATGGAGGCTTAGGAGTCTGTTTTTACATTTTGTCACACATGATTCACACAGCTTTCACCCAGGGTGCATTCATTTGTCTTATAGGATTCAAGTAAAAAATATGTGAGTTTTGGGGGAAAGGTGTGTAAATCTTGTTTACAAATCTTTATAAATGGAGCCCTTAGTGTAGTATAAACTTTTTTTTATCAATAGCCTTCAAAATCAATATATAAACCATATATTCACCGTGCAAATGTGATGTGAATATATATAAAACCGAACACCTGAAAACGTGCACAATAAATCACTCACCTAAATAAATATGTACATAAAATGTGTAAGCATGCAGCTGCCCTAATAGTGAATAATCCAATAATCACCTCATGAAACAATGACAAATAAAAGCAGCCTAAAAAAAAAATTATAAAACACAATAGCAAAGTGAAAATATGACACAAAATATAACACTTCAATAAATATACACAAATATTTAAATCATTTGACATAAGTCCACCAACTGAGAAATGAAAATTGTGTTGACCTACAAAGTCCTTATTGATCCACCAAGATCACCACGTGAACAACATAACGACAATTGATTGAGTAAAATGCACTCAAATGTCACCACGTGCTCCAGAGGAAAACCTCCCCCAATTCAGTGGCACTCATCCGATATCGTAGCCCATCCAAACCTGATAGGCAATAGCACTTGTGAGTGTCATCGTAGTACACATCATCAATCAACAAGCCCTTCATTAGAGACTGATATGATGGCGGGACATCCTCCAAACTATTACACTCCGTAATCGGGAAAGATGTGAAAGGAAACTCATAGTGTGAATCCATTAAAAAACATTTATTGGGTAGAAAGTATTGCATTCACATAAAATAAATGAAAGCATGCCAAAATATCCACAATAACCATAAAGGGTATCTGTATATCACATGGAGCGAGCGTCCCACCCGATATATCTCATTGCTCGCGAGCAATACGTCACTTCCGGCGGGGGATGTAAGGTGGATGCCTCGTTACAGAATACATCGTTCGGCTCGACTCTGACACGTTTCATCACCAAACTTTATCAAAGGGTTTGTTTTTTTTTAATGAAGTGTTATATTGTGTGTCATATTTTCACTTTGCTATTGTTTTATTTAAAAAAAAAAATTTTGTTACGCTGCTTTTATTTGTCATTGTTTCACGAGGTGATTATTGCATTTGTTTTATCAATAAATAGTTTTTTTTTTTTTTACTTTTATAGAGGTTTACATTACAGACTAAAAAG